TCTTAAACAATCCCAGTGTATACCTCACATTCTGGGTGTGCCTACTGTAGAAAGAGCGGAGTTCCACTCCATGTAACCCTTTTTTCCTGTGTTCACAGATCCCACTAGAGAAGGATGGCTCCTGGAAATGGCTCTTTTGTGACTGAATTCATTCTGGTGGGGTTAACAGACCAACCAGGTCTCCAACTCCCTTTGTTCTTCCTGTTTCTAGTAATGTACATGGTCACTGTGTTGGGAAATTTGAGTTTAGTAATTCTAATTGGACTGAATTCACACCTTCACACCCCCATGTACTTTTTCCTCTTTAACTTGTCCTGCATAGACCTCTGCTATTCTTCTGTGTTTACACCCAAAATGCTGATGAACTTTATATCAGAGAAGAATGTTATCTCCTACAGGGGGTGCATGACACAGCTTTTCTTTTTTTGTTTTTTTGCCATTTCTGAAACGAACGTGCTGACATCGATGGCCTATGATCGCTACGTGGCCATCTGTAACCCTCTTATGTATAACATTGCCATGTCCCCTAAAGTATGTTGCAACCTTATGCTTGGATCATACTTGATGGCCTTCTCTGGTGCCATAGCCCACACTGGATGCATGCTGAGACTGACCTTCTGTGATGTCAATACCATCAACCATTATTTGTGTGATATCCTCCCTGTGCTCCAGCTGTCCTGCACCAGCACCTACATAAATGAGGTTGTGGTTTTTATTGCAGCAGGCATCATCTTCACTGTGTCTACCGTCACCATCTTTATCTCTTATGGTTTTATTCTTTCCAGCATCCTCCGTATCAGGACAAAAGAGGGCAGGTCCAAAGCCTTCAGCACCTGCAGTTCCCACATAATTGCTGTTTCTCTGTTTTTTGGATCAGGCATATATATGTACCTCAAACCATCCTCTACTGAATCCATGGATGAAGGAAAAATCTCTTCTGTCTTTTACACCAATACAGTTCCTTTGATGAATCCCTTAATCTATAGTTTGAGGAACAAAGATGTTCAACTTGCCCTGAGAAAAACCATTAGTAGAAGGAAGGTGTGATCAGAAATAGGGTGTCTCTCTGTATGTAGTTACAGAATAGGGATATTCACTTGTTTAATTACAACTGAATTAGTATTAGTGACAGCCTTCTTATCCTATTTATTTATTATGGTGAAGAAAATTTGAGTCCTCTTCCATTTCCATTTTTTATGTACTATATCTTCTTTCTTCCTTCACTATATAATTCCTTTCTTCTCAACTTTTCTCAGTATAGCAATAACATTAAGGAAGAAGTTTATATTTTTTATTTTCTTAAATGGTCATTTGCAACATTATTGGAAAAAAATAAAAAGTATTCAGATGATCAAGCAATGTAAACACATGGTGAAGCATTGTGTCTTTAGAGGAGTGAGAACTAATCAATAAGAAAAGAGCAAACAATCCCATGTAGAAGTGGACAAAAGACAGGAGCAGAACCTTTTCTGAAGAAGACAAACAATGGCCAACAAATACTATTCATCCTTAATCATCGGAGATATGCAAATAAAAACCACCTTGGAATATTACCTAATGTCAGTGAGAATAGCCCACATCACAAAATCCCAAAGCTGCAGATGTAGACAAGGAAACATTTTTACATGCCTGGTGGGCTTGGAAACTAAAACAACCTCTATGGAAAGAAATATGGAGAATCCTCAAAGAGCTAAATGTAAACATTCCATTTGAAACCACAATCCTATTACTAGGTATCTTCTCAGAAGAAATGAAAACATTTTACCATAAAGACATTTGCACTAGAATGTTTATTGCAGCTCAATTCACAATTTCAAAGATGTGGAAGCAACCCAAGTGCCCATCAACCTATCAAATGGATTAATAAACTATGGTATATGTATACCATGGAATAGTATTCAGGCATAAAAAAGATAGAGATTTTACATCTTTTGTAAGCTGTTTACCTTTTGTCAAGTTAATACCTTTGTGACTCCATTTCCTTTTATGTAAAATGTTTGAATCTTAAACAAAATAATATGTATATTTACAAAAATGACTAGATGTGGTAAATTCTCAATAAATATTAGCTATTATTTTTTAGTAGAGGAGAATGGAAATCATTGTTTACACTTTTAGACAGTTCTTTGTTTTTGGCATCAATGATGGCACTTTATTGATGTAGTTTTCAATGCCCATTTCACCACTTTATGACCATTTATATCCATTGTTCAGCTTCTACTTATAAGTGAGAACATGGGGGTATTTCTTTGTCCATTTCTAAGATATTTTTCGTGGAGCCAAAGATATAGGGAATTGGGTCTGCTGACTAACTGGGAAAGACTCATAGGATTGGGAGGCAGAAATCGAAATCATCTTGTTGTGCTAAGTCAATTTTCAGGGAGGGATGCAGGATTAGTTGAGTCAGTTCCATGGTATGGGCCATTGATCTGGTTGGGTCAGTTGGTCCAGCAGAATGCAGGATCTGTAAAATATCTCAAAGATCAGCCTAGGTTTTACAGAGTTGATGTTATCTATGAAGAAAGTAAAGAATCTTTATGACCATATGACCATCAGCTACCTGAGTAGTAAGAAATTGTAGAGAAGTGGGTGGCACCTGTGGCTCAAAGGAGTAGGGCACTGGCCCCATATGCCAGAGGTGGCAGGTTCAAACCCAGCCCTGGCCAAAAACTGCAAAAA